GATAAATTAGTTAGTTCTTCTTTCTATAGTCTGAGCTTCATTCTTGTATCTAAATTTGTAATTCCGAGCAACCCCATGTGGTTTCTCTAACAAGTTTATCAATAAAGATAAGAGCAAAACCTCACCTTATTAAAAAAAAAAAAAAAATATCCTTTTGCCACTCTACTGGGCTTTCCTTTACTACTGTTCTTAAGGCTACTTTGTTGTCAATAAACAAAGTAATCTACATTTATCTCAACACTCTCTTGAAAGATTAGAGTGTTCTTAAAATTGCCAATGCCTCAAATTAAGCAATGACCTCTGATGTATAGGAGTGCGACCAACTTCTTGAAGCTTTGTGATTATGAAAAATTTTATATTATCTTGTTATCGATGCATCTATACATACTGACTTTATCTGGAATGGTTTTCAAGCTAGCTGGCTATTCCACTTCTTCAAATTTTTTATCAGCTAATAAACATCTTTGACTGCTTATTCGGATAGCTGAATTCTATTGTCCTACTCCCATATACATCAGTTTTGTGTATTTATCAGTCTGTAGAACTCTATACATTTTACTTGACTTAGAAGAAAAGCTCTTGACAAGCTTATTATCTTGCTCACTACTGATACTAAACTTCTTGCTGTTATTATTGATGCCCTTAATAGAGCTTCTAAACTTGAAATTGTTAATACTATTTTGTTCTCTGGTACTACTAGGTATCTATTTTGTATGTTTATGATTATATCACAGAACTTTAATGTTTGCATTAGACCTCAGCTCCTTTTCTCCTTAGCTCTGGTCCAACTACATCCTTCTAAATTGACTTTTACTACCTCCTCTCTTATCTTTAATAACTCTTCTTTTACTGGATAGGCTACTCATACATCATCCAAATAGCATTTACAATAAATCCTTTGATCTCGTAACTTTCCAATTATAGCTCTCATCAATTTTGAAAAAACCTACAGGGCTTAGCTTAAACTGAAGAGTAGAACCCTGTAATTATACTAGTTCTTCTTTACTACAAAACCTAACAGCCTCTGTACTTCAGTGTTCATTAGAACATAGTAGTAGCTATTCTTGAGGTCGAATGAAATCAACTACTATCCCTACCTAATTGTTCTAAGCAAGCCTTCTAGCTTTTCGAATTAAAAACTTTTCTGTAGTAGGGTCTAATTTAATCTTCTCAAGTTCACTACCAGATTAAATTTTCTGGGACTCTGCTTTAGAACCAGAAAAACTAGACTCACCTCCAAAAGATTTACCAGACAAGAACTCTCTACTGTGACTTTTATGATTGCTCCCTATATCTCCAAATGCACTAACTCCTTCTCTAGCTAATTTTCTTCCTCTTGCATAAATTGATAAGGCCTCAGATCTAGTTTGCCCATTAGTCAAATTAAGTTCCTTGGAAACAAAGGAATTTCTTTCTTCAGCTATTTCAATACCAATTGTGACAGTTTTACAACTCTCTCCTAATACCTTACTGCCTCTTGACTATAAATTCTCTCTACAATCTGGACCTCTGTACACCTTTCCTTCTCCTCCAAAATCCCTGAGTATTGTCAAGTATCTTTTGATCGAGCTCTATCTCCTCAAAAGGGCAAACCAATGTGTTTTCTAGAGCTACACTCATTGGCATAATGTCCCTTCTCTTCACATATATAACAGACTACTTCACTCTCTTTAAACCCCTTACTTTTATCAAACCTCTTCAGCCATTGTGATACTACATGATACTCTGATACTGTACTAGTAATGATACACCAGTTCCTGGACTCCAATGCTACTGCTGCTACACAAATTGTAAGTTTAGTTGAAAAGTTTGCAAAGAGGGCAACATGAATCTTCCGAACTGACTTTGCAGCCTAAGTTGCTTCAGAAATTGCTGCTAAACACCTGGTTGCTATATAATAGGCTAAACTAGTATTACCTGGACTGAAGACCCTTGCAAGACTAGAGCCTGTAGCTGAGGTTAGTCAAAACGTGAATTGAAAGATGTTCTTGCTCTTTTAGCTTTTGGGAAATGATGTGCTACCAACCTAGTACTTTCCCGTTTACTTCTTAACAACTCTGATATTGGATCTAGAGTATCATCAATAGCTATCTTCAAAGCAACATCCCAACTATTCTCATTAGCTACTCTAATGACATAGGCTCTCTCCAAGGCCACCTGCCTTGCCAAATGCACAAAGCTCAAATCTCCCAATACTAGGGCCTTATCAATTTATGCAAGAGGAAGAAAATTAGCTAGAGAAGGAGTTAGTGCATTTGGAGATATAGGGA